AGGCATCACATTGCCATTTTAATCTGGGCAATATGGATGCAAAACTTTTCCATTTAGAAGATTTCTAATCTCCTTTCGCAAAGCAGAGACGACTATGAAAAGGTAAGAGCAGTGGTGACTCAACTCTGCTAATCTATTCAATGTTCTACACTTAAAGCAAGAGTACTACAATTCTACTGGCATACCTCATTGCAATTTGACTCGTGCTGTCTATGGGAAGCTGAGCCATACCACACTGAAGAGAGCAGAGAAGATGGAGGAAGCACAAATAGGCTTGGTCAGAAGATCACTACTTTCCTACGAAGTCCACTTCCAGTAAACAAGATGTTAACACCACACATCCCAGTGTTCTTCCATCAGGCTGTACTATTTTACATTACCAAAGGGAAATAATTTTGAAAAGTTTAAAGGAACAGTTCAGACCAGCAATGTTGCCGGACATACTCCAAAATGCAAGTTTCAGTTGCTGACCTCAATAAGAGTAATCTACAAATAACATATTTTGAGTAAGCAGCACAGGCTCCATATGTCATTCTGTTCTAGAAGCAAACATGAAGCACCTAAAGCAACTAATCAACAATAGCTGTCACACTTCCTTCCATTGACACTAGTACGAATTCTGCCATTGATTAAAATCTATTTTTAAGTTTTTTCTTTCTTTTTTTTTTTTTTAAGTACTTTTTAGTTCTGTTCAATTTCAGGCAGTGAATAATGCGTAGTATTTTTCTAAGTCAAGGGCAAGGCTTTGGTCAGGAGGAGCAGAAATATCACAGCAAGGCCTGACTTCATCTCCAGCAAATGAGATCCTGGTATACTTTTCTGAGCGTGGACATTTGCTTTAAACAGCTTGAATCAGATTTCACTGAAATCTACTAGGTCTTTAAGGAAAATCCTAGTATCACTGGGGTTTATACCTAAGAGAGAAGAAAAAGGAATAATATTGAGCTCGCTGTCAGCATTTCTACATTTTAATTCACTTTCAATTTTAAAACATCATAAAAACAGTTAATAAACTTTCAGAAGGTTACCTAAACTCTGTTAGAACAAAGTAAGGCTAGTATGAATTGAACAGTGAAACTGGTTGATGGATGAAATTATTGCCCTATCAGCCAAGTTCATTTTTCACATATTTTATAGCTCGGTTAATGCTTTTTGACTATGCCATGAAAAGCAGAAAAGTGGATGTGGTAAAGTTTTATGGGTGGCTAGTGTTTGTGTCTTCAGTACTTTTAATTATTTTAGTGGGTGAGGTTACTGACATCTCATACTTTTTGAATAATAATTTCTTCTTTGCAATAAATCCTTTTGAAGATTTGCCCTTTTTTTAAACTCAGAATTCTTACATAAAAATATCCAAATACCCAGTGTAAAGTGTTTATTATGATAACCAAATCAACCACAGAAAGATTAATTTGATCACTAAACTGCAATTTAAATGAAACTATGGATTATCAGTTCTCTCATTTCTTAGTTCATGAAAAATGCGTGAGTCAGAAAGGTTTTGAAAATGTCTTCAGAGCTCTTCCATCCTGTTCTAATAGATGATGTAAGCCACCATTACACACAATAAGGCCAGTCTGCACTGTCAAAACCATTACAAAAAATCAACAATATTTTCCCAGGGCCATAAAAATTAGTTTTTCCCATAATCATTTCAAGGCAATAGTGAGACATGCAAGGCTGTTATACCAGTTATGGATTACACAGGTCCATAAAGCTGATGTAGATTGGTAAATCTTCCTCAAAAATATGTTAACTGATTGATAGACCATTATTAGATTGAATCATTATGACTGGGTAGCAAGTAAAGTAAATTTCTGGATTGTTTTAGGTTCTAGTATCCTTTGTTGTTGTTTAAAAAAAAAAAAATAAAAAAAATCTTCCTCCAAGAAATATTGTGTTCCTAAGATGTATCACACCATGGTACCTGTAAAACACCAAAGGCATGCATGACATTGTACAGGCAAGTATAAGAAAACAGTCATAGCAGAGAAGGTTATGGTTTAATTTAGTCATTAAACAGAGTACTGAAAGCATGTGATTTTGATGGAAGCTGGAAGAAGAGATGTATTTTGTCAATAAAGCATCAGGAAACTAGTCTGAGTTTAGGACTGGCTCTCACTGCGTTTTCCTCTCAGGCCTTACTTTTTTATTCTTCTCACAGACAGCTGAACTCAATGGAAATAGGCTCTGATTCCCATAGCTCCATGACTGCAGGGGTTTGATCCAACACAAAGGTAACGTGCACATGGAACAGACATGGATGAGAGAGATGCACTGATAGCTCACAGTTCTACATGCAGGCATTTATGGGTGGTTCTCTTATGGAAGGAAAACAGAGTACTAGCATGTTGTAGCCAAACCTTGAGGATTCTGTAGCATTTACAATATGGTACTGTTGGTGCTAAATGGCCTGGAAAGGCAAATACTGAATGCCTGTGATCACTGCGCATATTCTTATGAGCTGGATTTCCAGTTTGGCTCACTGTCTTGGAGGCCCAATGAAAATGTGGCAAACAAAGTCAAGAGCATTCAACTTCAGACCAAAATCCCCAGCTCCACACCACCAGAATCAGAGTTTTTTCCAAGCTTTTAAAGTTTACTCATTTACTGTGTTCAGGCCTTGACAGTATTTTAGGGGGCATATAAGATGAAGGGGGAAGAATAAAGGCAAGGAGAATAACACCTGTCTTTGCAGCTGGTCAACATGCAGATCTGTAATGTGCTGCCTGCTGGGAAACAGGGATAGTCTCACGTTACACTGGGCCTTCAGCAACTGAGGGAGTTTGCAGAACGGAATCCTGCAACTAGGAGATGTGAGGCTTGGGCTTCAGCCAAAAACAATAGAGACCAGCATTAAATGAAAAGTTCCATAAGTTCAAATGCATTCAATCACTGAACAACACACAGCTTTGTGGTTTGAAAGAATTTAAAAAGAATTTTAAATCATCATTGCAGAGCTACCAGTTGTTTCTAATTTTGAAGAACAATCACTATTTTACACTTAACTACCACCAAATGCTTCCCAGAGTGACCGTAGTCACCCATAAACACGCAAAATATCTTCATTTAGGAACAACAGACCAAGTCTGATAAGAGCTGATATGCTGCTCTGAAAATTGCTTTAGTGCCTGAAGCAGAATTTCATCTTTCATAGACTAAATCCACCCTAGTAAGTGGGACCCATTCTGCTTTAAGTTACATCCTTAGAAGCTCATTGACTACAATTGAAAAGTCATTGCAAAAGGGTAATACCAAAAGGTTAGCAGAGAAATATATGTAATGCTATTACCGTAGGCATTTAGAGTGTAATGTTAAGAATAGCAAAGAAAGGTTGCCGCAGAAAGCAATAAAATAAAGAAAACTAAAAGTTGAGCTGAAAATCCTGAAACAGTGAAACCTGCCTATCTCTGCCTCCAAAATGACACAGTAGAACAGCAAGGACATGGCTGTAGAATCTCTCAGAAAAATGATCTAAGCACTAAATTACCAGGGAATAGAATCACATGTTAGAAAACAAAATGCTTTTTTTTTTTTTTTGGTCATAGTCTAAATAATGCTGACTGCTAAAAGAAGTCAAGGGATGTAGAGGTTTATGATTCTCCATAAGGAGCATACGGGTAATGACCTGCATTTTCAGAAGTGAGCCCTAATGTTCATGACAAAAATGAACAAACAACAACGAACAACAACAAAAACGCTTATTTTGAGAACCTAATCGTCTTAAACTCTCCTTGATTTTTGTACAAATTCAGACCAAAGCAATCCTCCCTGATGAGGGAGTCTTCTCAAAGCTGAGTGGGAGACATGGCACTCCCAAAATTTGGTTGAGAAGCAAACTAGGGGAATGGTAATTTGATAGTGTCTGGAACAGGACATTGTATAAAGGATTTAAGAAAGACCTATGATATTTGCAAGGCAACATATTGGAAGATATAGTTTGATGTGCTAGAGTCTGAAGTATTAGTGCATATACAAAGACAATATATAAACAGTTGATACTGGGCCATTCAGGCGAGGGACAGTTTTCACATTAACATGGCTGTTTACTTTTTTTTTTTTGAGAGAAAGACAACGATCTTTTGGAGAACAAAGTCTATAAAATGTATTCCAGCTTTTTTTTTTTTTCAGGTTCATTACTAGAGATTTAATGACCTAATATTCCTTTAATCTCTATTTTTATGATTCTATTAAACAAATGATAAATAAAAAATTTCCTCTAGACACGCAGGGGGAAAAACATCACCAAAATATTGGAAAAGGATCCAGGTTTTCAGTCAGTTGAAGCCTCCCTAATTGGCTGGCATGTTTTTCCGCACTTATTACAGTGAATGCTGCCATCTGTTTCTTACTTCAAAAGAAATAGTCAAAATGATAAGCAAGCTAACAGAGAAGGAAGTCTTAAATGCATACAGAATATTTAAAAATGCATAGTATCCACTAACTCCCTGTGGATAGAATATCTTCAGTCTTGACATGATAATTACCAGTAGAAAAATTGTGACAGGCAAATATTCAACCAGCTTCCACTTCTGATAATGGGGCACATACAGATGAGATCATTTTGACTCCAGGTTTTCCATTACTCGCTTTGAGTTTTATGTTTTAAGTATCCCAGTAAGGGTGCTTCTTTGTAATGAGTCAGGCTGTGCACTGCCCATCCATTAGATCACAGGTTGTTGACTGAAGCATTGCATTAATACTGAAAAATCTGCTAACGTAAAACATTGTCCTCAACAGCACAAAGGGAAGCTTAATAAACAACAAGAGAAAGAGAATGAAAGAAAATAAACATACAGTGTTAAATAAAAAGATACATAAGAGATAGTATATATTCACTTCCAGCAGAGAGCTTATTTATCATTAACAATGCCTTCATCATTTCTGATTTCACAATTAATCAAATATGCACTCTGGCTTTTTTCCTAATTGTTAAGCATCATAATGAGGAACTGATATTCTAACACTTCAGTAGTTAGTTCTACCAAATGCTGCTTTACCTAAGGATTGCAAAATTGATTCTTCCAAAAACAGTCATGTCAAAGACTACTAGTCCACAAGCTACCATTGGACATTCACTTGTAAACTTAAGTGCTTCCAGACTATTCAGTGGAATACAGACTGTTATGGGTGTATAGTATAGGAAAACTCCTGTGCCAATCTGTATGGAAAAAGCCACAACCTGAAAAAAAAAAAAAAAAAATCATGGAAAATAACTATAGAACACAGGATGTGCAATTAATCACAGAAGTGACAATAGCATGAGTACAAAATACAGGAGGGGATTTCACTCACATGAAGCCTGTCATGCATCTTTTCACCCTAGCAGTTCAGGGGATAGTAGCAAGATTCACAGCTTCCCTTTGTCCCATTTTCTATCCATCTGACCACAGCAACCCAAATCTGGATTTGAATCTCTTTGTATTATGAGACTACAATAAATAAGTGCACTCTGCATCTCATGGCAGGAAAATACAGATACCATGGCTAAGGGGAACAAAAATCATTTGCAACAGAACTGGTTTTGTAGCATTCCAACTTTTTGTTGTGTTTCACCATAGACTTCATTAATTAACCTTTTTGCTTTCTTTTCTTCTTATTATTATTATTTTAAAATTTATCCTCATGTCAATGACAATACTGTCTTGTTTGTTTTATAACTGCCTAAGTAACAAAAACACTGAGATAGACTGGTCAGGGCTAAGACATACCAAACACTAATTCCTTTCACTTCTATCAATAAACCATTGTACAGAAAGGCAATTTTAGAAGGAACAGGAGGTGATCATATATTTTTACTACAGGATGGTTAGCTAAGCTTCAGAGGTACCTGCTCAGGGCTGAACGCAAGCAAGTGGGAAGAACAGAAAACAAGATGGTGAAAAACAACAGTGGGGGAAAAAAAAAAAAAAAAGAGGTGACTAACAGGTCATTCATGAACATTTATATCAGAGCCTGTGAACCACAAAAGGTAAAGAAGGAAGGATATAAGCCTCAGACTAGAAAAAGAATTGTATCTTGACAGTGTCACAGCTCAGCTTACAAACAGGACTGATGACTACAGTTTGTGTTTTCCAACCCTTTTCTCCAGGGGTGTGTGTTTGTGTGTGTGTATACACACACAGTGAGAGAAACGGGGAATGGCCAAGAGCTCCTGGCTCTTGCTACCGTAAAAGGGAAAGCTGAGAAAGGGCAGGAAAGGCAGCACTTAAATCGCACAGGCAAAGGAGGTGTCTGTGCTATCGCAGTGGAGTGCACTTACTGTAGCCAAGGATTCAGCACAATTCTCAGGCAGACAGGTTTTTGGAAATGCAGATAAATTCAGTGGAGATATTTAAACCTGTAAACAGGATATAAAAAAACGTGGAAAATCAATCATCTCCTGTATGAGCTTCAGTAACTACTACACAAGTTTGGTCCGTCATAGGGGTACTATGCACTGGGATGCCTGAGTTCACAATTACCCCTTTATAAGAAACACTTCGTAAGCTAATATAAGTGAGTAACTATAGGTTGGATTAAGATATTTTTTGTTTGAAAAAGTGTTACCATTCTCTTGATGACAGAATACATAGCATCTCCTGTAATCAACCTTAAGTTACTTAGAGGAACCAAACTCCACTTGTCACAAATACATGTCTACTGTGACATGAGAACTGTGTTTTGATAAAGCAATTGGAAAACAATCCATTTGTCTGGAATAATAAAGTACAAGTGCTGTAGTGCGTTTAACATGCAATTGACATGCACCACAGAATGCTCTGCCCACAGTAAGAGACCCACTGAAGAAAGAAGTTGGACATAGACTCTATAATCTCTAATGGAAGGGAAGAAATGTCATTTACAACGCGTACAACATATAATACTGGTCAAATCAGTGCTGACAAATACATTTGCTGACAAACTCACTCTTTTTCCAATTACCAGCTCTTTCCAAACAGACTACTGTTGTGTTTTTTATTGTAATTGTGGAACAGACAATTGAAGTGCCTGAGCCAAAGCCCCAGATTCTCATCAGCTTCACTGGGCTATGGGAAAGGGCTGTAGATGAACAAACTATTTGAAGAATTCGTAAAATATTTATTTGGACTGTTTCACCCTTGTTATTTATGCTGTGTTACTGGTCATTCAAGCAATACATATTGTGTTGTTGTTTTTTCCAGCCTAAATATATGAAATCTTTTAATCATGGTATTAACTCTACAACTTCTGAGCAGGGGAAATGGAGAGGGAGGTGCCAGTCTCATCTATCTGGTAACTAACAATAGGATGTGTGGGGAGGTTCAGGCTGGACATTAGGAAAAATTGTTTACCATGGGGGTGGTCAAACACTGTAATGGGCTTCCTAGCAAGGTGGTTGATGCCCCATGCCTGTCAATGCTCAAGAAGCATTTGGATAATGCCCTCAATAACATGCTTAAACTTTTCATCAGCCCTGAAGTGGTCAGGCAGTTGGCTTTGATGATTGTCGTAGGTCCCTTCCAACTGACCTATTGCATATTAACAATTTATCAGCAAATATTTTTTACACAATAAATAGTCATACTCACAGGGGAATAAAACAATGTAAAGGACAGCCATTGTCCAAAAGTTTACGGAAGCACAAATATAGATGAATGGTTGATACTAAAAGACTGTGTTAAGTCTGCAACATTCAGAATTCAAGACAGTGTTTGCAAGTCACTGTATAGGTCATTAGTTTGATGCAGAAAAAGTCCCAGAACAGACTACAGCGTAAGCTGATGCACTGACTGTTGAAATCACCAGTACTTCTGTCCTTCCCATGAGCAGAGAGGAAATCAAACACTGCAATTAAATATGAGTGCTTCATTTTTCAGGATAATTTTTTGGTGCTTCATTTTTGGAATTGTATTATCTGCCTTTATAAGGGAAAGTAGTTGTCTTTATAATTCAACCTTACTACAGTCTGTTACAGTTAACAATAGCAATAGCATATCTTTTCCAAAGTCCTGTATGAAAAATCCTTCAGAGGATTTACTATTTAATACTGAAATTATGAGACACTTACCTCTGCAGAATAACATCACCTTTTCCTAATCCAACTGCCTTCTAATAGATTTGTTTGAGGACTCATGGGACATGCCAGATACAGAATGATAACAATCTGATTCTTAGCTGCTTTTAAATGTCTTAAGCAGCATGGGTGCTGCTTGCCTTTTTTCATATGAACATACCAGAAAGTTTCCCCTTGATATTTGAGCATTTTTTAAGATATTATCCATCTTTCCTATTTATAGAGGTTTTGTTTTTTTTTTTCCTTGAAATTCTCTCTCCTGAAATATATCTACCAGGTATTCTGATTATTTATATGCCATCTTGCATCAAAATCCCTTTTCAAGAAACATCCCCTGCAAAGTACTTTAATGGCCCAGAAATTCCTGAGTGATTGGTTGAGGCTCTGAACAACCACAAGACACCTTGTGGCACATCAAAGATATGTTTTCCATCTCTTTATTTGTATGTTTGTTTTCCAGGCATGGAATTATAACCTTCAATACAAAGAGCATACAAACAGAATAAAACCAGTCATTTTTAACATAATAAACTTGATCTACAGACGTGTTACTGAATTTACATTAATTTGTTCATTCTTGACACTATCTTGGTAGCAGCAAGCAGTGAACGTGAAGAAAATAACATTGGTTCCAGTGTTCAGTGTGGCACATATAAACATTTGTATAAACTACCCTGAAAACTCAAGGAAAAGGGAACTGGCAAATAACTATGGGTATGATGAGCTGAGCCAAGAATGTGATTTTGGACTGTTTCCATTGTGGTTTTCACTTCAGAGTAATTTGTATGATTTGGAAAGCTAGCAATATAACTCTGTGTAGGGATGGGTTATTCAAGGTAACCTCTATGTTTAAAGGATGGGGTATTTTTATAGCCATGGACCAAAAATGAGGTCACATGCTACAGCTACCTAGATCTCGGGAGACAGAGAATCCACTGTTCTTATTTTCTCACATTATCTTGTACAGTACAGAGACATGTATTTTACTGTTCTTAAAATACGTAGTTATTAATATGCTAATGGCATGGCAAGCAAAACAGCAAAGCCTAATAAAATATCCCTTTAGCAGAAATACTAACTTTTCATATTCTTTAAGGCTAGTGTTCACACTGAACCTCTCAGGAAATGCAGTGAAGTAGAAGCATAGGAATGTAATATTTGGAACTTTTAAAATGTATCGGACTTAAATGTATTCCCAGTTCATGTGCCAGCCCAGCCTATGTAAAATCTAGCAGATTTTCCCTGTGATAAATCTAGAACTATTATCTAGATAATAACTAGAAATCTTTAAGATGTTAAAAAGTTTAAAATTGTGGTTGGTACATGAAAACACAACAATTCAGTCCTCTGAGCTCATCAGTTCATTTCCCAGCTCTATTATTTCAGATACATTAGGCTGAAAACAGTATGCATTAAAGGACTACTATCCTTTAACCTATTTGGATGTGAATAATATTTTCTCTAGTACACACCAGATAAAATATGAAAATGTCAAACTTGAAATTAGTAGCTAAGGAATAAAGTTTTACAGTGGATATTTTAAAGATTTAAATCCAGATCCCCATCTGTGATGAAGTTTCAGTGTAGCAGAAAAACCTAATTTACATCAACAAAAAAATAAATCCAGAAAAATTATGTCAATATAAACATTCAACTCTCATTTCACTCCCTGCTCCTTGAAAAGAGTATAAGACTTCCAAGATTTCTATAGGACCAATCTCACATCAGTTCTGGAAATCATCCACACAAATTTAGAGAAATACTCAAAGGGTCAACATCCTGAGACTTCTTCATGTTCCTGGCTAAAAGCCAGATGAAGAAAAAACAAACAAAAAGTTAAAAATGATGTAAAGGATAATCAAAGGAATAATTAAACTATATGAAGTAAATAAAGCCACTGGTACTTAATAAACAAGAAACACTATTTTTGATGAAAGAAAACCCTAATAATACAGGTCTTAGGCTCTTTTTTTATCCCTATTCCCCACTAGAGTACACATTGTGGAAGCCATGGATGGGAGAAGCATGGCATGCTAGGGGCTGATGGGCCATCGCACTGTATCACTGATACGGGTGTAGTGTTGTACCCATAGGACGCACCCAGCAGGCTGCTGTGCTATGGTGCCCGTCCCTGTGACAACACAAGTAACTCCCTTACACACAGAGGGCAGGGTTAGAGCGTGCACACACAAACACGGCTTGGAAGCACCCTGTCTTCTCTCTACATCTTGTAATGGGATGCCAACCTTGAGCAATGCTTCTAGTCAAGTACAGGCCTGAATCCTATCACAAGGTCCCACATACGTGATACTGCTGCAGCATCACGGTCTGCTTCAGCTACAGGTAGGTATCTTGCTGCACTGCATGGATTTCCTCTCCACAGCATGTCTTTAAATCATTTCACTCCACAGCTAAGTTTGTAGATGCTGCTGACCATCAGGGAATTTTCCCTTAAACCTCTTTTCATTTCTCGTACATTTAGTATTTGTTAACATTTCTCATTTGAAACCTTCTTTGTTAATGTAGTTTAAGTTTGGTAATTTCCTAGATACATTGTGTTTATGTTCTGCACAGATGCTCAGTTATCTTTCATAAGCTCTGTTAGATCTCCGGGACTGCCTCTTTTTATCATCCCCACCTGACAAGAACTGAGCAGGTTCTGGTCTTCATTAGGGCAAGCAGTTACAGTCAAAGTATGCTTTCACTACCAGATACTAACTAATGTATGTTAAACATATTATGGACAGAAGGTGGTCTGATTTTTCCATGGGGCAAGTTAAAATCTACCGGGGAGAAAAGGATTTATGATGTTCTAGGGAATGTTCATAGCATTCGTAATAGCCTTTTCTGGATGAAGATTTTACTACGTACTTGAACTGGATTGCTTAACTGATACTTAAGATTGTAGGGTTTCCTCTGGAATACAACTTTAGTTTCATCTTAGATAAATTATTAAAAATGCTTTTTATAGCAAAAGAAAGAATTCTGCTAATACAAAAACCAGCTGAGAAAAATTTTCTGCCAGTAGAGTGTTATCAAAGATACACAAAAGCAACACTACTAAGACAGGCAGAGCGTAATGTGCTGTGCCAGGCACAGCAGCATCCTTTACCCCTCCTGCTGTTTGGCAATGCCACGTGATCAAGACTCAACACAAGACACAGACCAAAGTCCTTGTAATCCTTCTAGAAGGCTCTTGATATCATCTGTGACAAGGGAAAATGAGATTTGTGGATAATCTCAGCTCATCTTAGCTCCAAATGCCCACAAGGAAAATGTGACTGCAACCTGCACGTCTCATGCAC